AAGGAAACTCCAATATACTACTAACCTTTAAAAGTTAAATGATTAGACTTTTTCACGTGTTAGTTCTATACTATTGTTAAACATTAAAAATCCATGTTTTCCCTTTTAATTACCCAGGTTTGTCATTTTCAAATTCAAAGTTCAAGAAGAATTTTGGTGTTCTTTAGAAATGTATTGCAGAAGTATTAGTAGTTTACATTGTTTATTAGAGTTCCCCCGGTGGAACAGCGGTAGGTTTACGAATTTACAACGAGAAAATCCTGCGTTCACTTCCCCACGCTGGATACAGTAGATAACCCAAAGTGGCTTTATTTACTAGAACAAGTAAATTGTCCACTGGGACAAAGTCTGCAGTAGGGAGCACAAAATGTTCCTTAAGATGTTTTTTTTATAGCTTAATAAATATTTTTGTTTGGTGTGAAGAACAATGCTACACAATAGGCTATCTGTGTTGTGCTCACCATAAGTAACGAAAACCTATTTTTAGCGATATAAGCCCCTAAAACTAACGCTGAGTCACTGGGGGAGGGGACATAGTATATTATAAATCAACTTGCAAATTTTTATTGCAAATGTAATTTTCTATTAGATTCATTCGTGCAGTAGTATATTTTGGAAATATTTTTATAGCACATAACTTGTTCCATATTTTTTTTGGCAACGGATTTAAGCGTTATCATTGAGCATAGACTTAGCATACACAAACGGAAGTGGATTATTTTCAAAGATGAATAACAGACGATCAGAACAACACCGTGTTTGATGACTTTCAAACATTTTCTGATAAACTGAGGTACCAATTTTGCAAGATATATCCCATTAAATATCGAAAATCGCCATATTACATATGATACATAATATAATCAGTATACGCCAACAAATGGTGCATTCTTAACAAAAATTCCTCATAGTCGTATTCATTGGTTTGGTTTGTTCTGAATTTCGCGCAAAGTTACACTAGGGCTATCTGCGCTAGCCATCCGTAACGTAGCAGTGAAAGACTAGAGGGAAGGCAGCTAGTCATCACCATCCACCACCAACTCTTGAGCTACTCTTTTACCAATGAATAGTGGGATTGAGAGTAAAAATTATAACGCCCCCATGGTTCCAGTGACGGAAATTCGAACCCATGGCTCTCAGATTGCAAGTTGAGCGCCCTAACCATCTATTCATTGGCAGTTGATAGATAAAACGTGCTAACCTTTGACCAATGACGTAACGGCACGTGGTAGAAAATCAACCAGTAATGCAAGGCCATAGCCAGGGGGTGCGAACTAAGCCCCCACCCCTATCGGAGTTCCACTTGCCTATTAATTTTTTTTTCTTTCTTTGATGGTGGCCTCTCATTATACAATTGCTTTTGTACCATTGTTCATAAATGCAGAAATAGCATTTTCATACTTATCAGAGGAAATTTACAAGAAATGTTTATTTACAGTGATAATAAAGGAACCATTACATGTTTCGGATTTTTTTTTCGTCCCTGGGTTGTAAAGTTACACATGAAACGAGTTACACTTTGAACCAAAAAGAACCTCTCACTTCTAGATCTGGCTACGGTCTTGAGTAATGAATTACTCTGATAACTGTTTACACCGGTAATATATTATGATATGATAATTGCCCAGTTCGGCTTAGAAGTAACAAAATAAATAATATTAAGATTAAGCTGTTTATATAATACGAAATATGTTTCGTTGAAAGCAAAAAGTTAGAAAAATCAATATTTATAGCAAATTAAGACGGAATAAAACTTGGCACCATTCTGTCTTCCGATACACAATATTTTAGGTTTTAATTTTTAGTAGATTAATAAATGTATTCTTAACCCTAACAAATATTAGTAATTATTTTGATTATCACAATATTCAGCAAGCGATAAAAAGTACTAACACTGCCTATCAAGTTGAACGATGCCTTTTGCAAAGTACTTTTACCCTGAAATACCTATTTTCAGTACTGAACTAGCCAATGTGCACTGGGAGAATTTCAGAAAATCATGTTTACCTAGTTTCAGTTGTTGGTGAAAGGTGTGATCTTTGCATGAAAATTTTGCGGGTTAGTCACGGTAGGGTTTCTGTTGAAAGAGAGATCGTTCAGAAACGTTAGAATCCAATAAAATGAAGACAAGAAAACTGCGAAGCAGATGAAACTAAGAATAAAATATTTTTTTAAGCAGTTCCGTTGTCTCAGACTGTTCAGGATTGACAGACATAGATATGATTGATCAGACCTCAACAAACTAGTCATATGAAATAGTTGAAGAACAATTATTGTTGTTTCTACAAAGTGCAAATCAACGTCATGATGGAACGATTCGAACAAAGTAGTCTTGATGTTTTGGGAAGATTTTTCATAGTTTTCATCAATACCAATAAAAAGTTTTGGGAATTTCATTATATTTTTGAAGCAAGAGATTGAGCACTAAACTTATGCAAAGTTTTATATGAGAAATTAGTCAAGGTTATTTTATCTTGTTCCAAGTTACTTTCAAAACAATGCACTTTCTGTTCATCATAATTGAAACACGATGAGTATTTAGTTATAAACTTTAACCAGAGCAAGAAAAACTTTTTCCAAGAGAGATAAATGTCAAAGCAACGAGAGATTCGCAACGTTTTTTTTTAAACTTGTTCATTTATGCGAAAATGGTTTTCAAACATAAAATGAAGCAAGCTCATGGGGTTAAAAAACACCCCAGTGTCTCAATAATTATTATTGGGATCATAACTAAAAATGTGACAGTCAGAAAAAGTATTTACTTTAAATCAAGAAAGGAAAAGTGGTAAAAACAAAATAATGTGTTGGTTTACGTAAGAAGAAAGTCTCACCATCCAGTGAACAAACATAACCAAGAAATAGTTTTAATACACAACTTACCAAACGGATTTCTTAAATATGTAAATAAGGATGGCAATAATAATTAGTGTTTCCACCTCTTCTACCTAAAACATTAAGAGTGAAATGAGTGGTAAACTAAAAGGAGAGGAGAATGATATATACGTATTCCGGGGAAAAAATTTGACATTTATGAAAGGTTGCTTTATACGAACAAAAATACGACAATATTGATAGTTTAGCTTTGATGATTTTATAATATCAATTGTTCCAAAGCTTTAATTGGAAAAATAACGTAATTTATGTTCCAGTCGTTCCAGTTTAATGGAATTTTACTGATAAAGAAATGTGTAAGTCTATAATTATATATTTAGCTAATTTAAGTATATGCCGTAAGCCTTCAGATGTTTTTAGGGCAAAGCTACACATCGGGTTATCTTCACTTTGCCCATTGGGGGAATCGAATTCTTGTGTTTTAAATCTGTAAGCTTATTACTGACCCACAGCGGACAAACCCTCAGCTAATTGTAAACAAATTTACAGTTTAATGTGTTTTTTCAACTATTATGCAAAATGTGATAGTGGTAACAATCAAACAACAACTTTATAAATTAATAGTTTTTAATGTCTACCTGTAAGGTACATGAACATTTTTAAAACAATGCCATGCAGTGAACAATCTGATAAGCTATTTTTTGTGGTACAAACATACAAGTTCACATTAAACATGCTTGGAAAGCTTCTTAATTAGTGAACAAGAGTGGAGTTAGTTCTCCTTACTTGCAAACTCATTTAAAGCACAAATATAAAAGATCCTAGAGTACTGGATGTTTTTAATTCAAACTCAGCGTCATCTACTGGAGAAATGTCCCAAATTTTACAAGAACAGTGAAACAAACACTTTTAAAACATAACACCGCTCGACATCATTTACAAGTTAGATTTTAAAAGCTTAATTTACATTGAACGTCATAACGAATGAGTCTGTACACTGAACAATAGACGATAATAATTGTGAAGTACACATATCATAATTTTTTATATCATCAAATTTTCAGGGCTGAAAAATGATATAAGCCATCGTATTACAATGTATTTTCTTTTTCACAATATCCTAATTCAGTTCATTACGGATTTCAACCGTTCACCAAAGCTCAAAAGTTTGAGTTTCACACTTTGCCAGTTTAGAGACTTAATACCACATCATAATTCCTTGTTAAGTTCTTATTATTTCATACAAATTTATAGATCTGTAAATAAACTTATGTTCAATTTTGCGGTATTTATGAGCAAGTTCAGAAAAATGTAATATATTTCCATTAAGTTTACCGATGTTTTCAGAATATTTCTAACAGAGGCTTTTATCAAATATATATCAACGCATACACACGACATACATACACATAAAAAATTTAACGCCTCAGTAATGCTGATTCTCACTTTTACCCTTTAAAATAATGAGATACAAAGCTGGCTCACTAGAATGCTTTTAGCTGTTATGATTTTAAGCTCTTTTTTTTTTGCTTTTTATAAAAAACGAAATACCGGTTGCATTATCTTCACTAAACAATAAACACGTAGATAGCTTTTACAAATACACAATCTTGATGATATAGTTAATTCAACTGTTTACGACTTTGAAATAATACTAGTACTAAATTTAACTGTTTACGACTTTGAAATAATACTAGTATTAAATTTAACTGTTTACGACTTTGAAATAATACTAGTATTAAATTTTCCTTCGATATTATTTTCATAACTTACAGAAGAAAATTGGGGCAATTACAAGCATAAATGGACAGTGCAGCGAGTCTTGAATTAGATATTTCTTTTTTATTTGGATAAGTACGAATCCAAATGGTTTTACTTTTTTTAGCAACAACTAACTATTTAAAAAGAAAACGTTTCAGGTTGTAGCTTAATTTATTTTTTGTTGATTTAATATATTTTACTTCCTATATATATATATTAGTTCGCTAAACAACACAAACACACGTAAGCTTGTAATTCTTCAACAATTGAATCTTACGCACATGCTATACACGTACACAAGTATTTCCAAATCCTATTTTTTTTTCACACACCCGTAAATAAGTAAATAAATGTTACAAGAATAATTCGACACTGTTTGATTGTTGAATTTCACGCAAAGCTACACCAGGGATGTCTGCGCTAGCCATCCCTAATTTTGATATGATAGGCTAGAGGGAAGGCAACTAGTCAACACTACATCGCCAACTGTTTAGCTATTCTAAGCGAATAGTGAGATTTGATAGTTACTCTTATAAGCATCTACTGTCCCAAGGTGCGGACCACGAATTTGTTTTGGCGTTAACGGGATGCAAACCACGGAACCTCAGTTCCACAGTCGGGCACATTAACCACAGGGCCAAGCTCGGCCCTTCAATCTCAACACTGTGACTAACTGGCATATAAGTGATGATATCAAATGATTTGCTAAATTTTACTTAGTCAGAACGTTCAAAGCGCTGAAATCTATCATCTGAAGTGCTAAGTATTGAAAATATATTAAATAAATTAATATTTTATTGTAATTGTATATTGCCAGCAAATAATCGTCTCGAGTGGTTAGAAAATATTATTTAAACAGTGCAATTTTTCCACATTCTCTCTCTCTCTCTCTGTGTGTGTGTATTATACATATATATATGAAACATGGCTCATGTGCATATTTCACAGTTTTACATGTAGCCTGCAGAGGGTTTGACAATTAAGTTTGTTAGCTATTTGCAAGTTCTTCAATTCTTTCATAAGCTGATACCAGTAAACACATTGTCTCTGTTTTATCAGCAAAAGCCGTACGTCATCTTATAAGCTATATGATGTAAGCTTGAATAAGCCAAACATCTCGGATATTTCTGAAAAAATCGCATCCACGTTTTCAGAAGATTCATGTTCATTTCATAGGTATTCTGTAAAAAAGAAAGGAGCCAACACTGGTGAAGTTAAAAAGTTCAAGCACACGATCGATCTGAGAGCTTGTAACGATCCTGACCTTACACATACCATTCTCTAAGATCTTTTATGTCTTCCTTCTTCTGAAGTTTCTCTGCTGTTTTTACAGCTCCGTTCACGTGCATTTGTTGTTCACTGAGCAGGGCTGGGCTGTTAGTGACAGCAGAAAACTGATAGTTTTTACTCTCGTCGATTTTATACGAGCCGTCAGTTCGATTCCTGAGCCTGTATAATACTAATGCTATCAGAACTATCAAAATTAATAGACCGGCTATAATACCAATTACAAGAGCAGTATTGTCTGCTGAACTTTTAGGTTTTTGGTTTGGTTTTGGCAGCTCCTTGTTCTTGGGCATTTCAGGAATAGGAACCTGGTACACTGACGGAGGGAGTTGTGTTAGTTGGTTAGCGCTCGACGTCGCCACTGTAGTGGTGCTTCGCTCAACTTTGTCTGGTACCTCTCCTTCCTGATGTGAAGTAGTTGGTGAGATGGGATAAGGCTGGACTGGCAACGGAGAGGCTCGAGAATCAGGTGCACGGGACACAGGTACCACAATCTCGGAAACAATATGAGAACTGTCAGAAGGATTAGTAACGATGATGTCATCAAATCCCGAGCCTTCTGTACAGTCTTCCTCGTCGTCACAAATGGTTTCCTCGACAACAGGAGTCAATGTTCCAGACCACTGAGGATGTGTAGTGGATGTCGTGGGGTGTGGTCGAGCGGTAGGTGATATGTACACAGGTGTGATGAGGTCATCTCCTGAACCAAGTGATTAAAAATAATTGCAAATTTGAGTTATTGGGAATATATTTTGTTAACATCACACAGCCACCTTAAATATTATTCCTTTTCAAAGAACAATTTAAAGTAAGTCATTGTAAAACATATATTTTTAATTATGTATGCAGCAAGTAAACAGCATAAACAAAACAAAAACAGTGTTTAAAATAAACTGATCGGTACAGAGCAACACTATCAAAATGGGATCGAATCTCGCACTTGCTATGGCTACTTTGTTTTTTAATTATTCGAAAAACAATAATTGGAATGTTCTTTAAATTATTTCCATTTATTTTGTTACGGTATATCAACATGTCAGTAAATTTGTGCTGTGTATTTGAATGGTAAACTTTCAAGTAAAAAATTTACAATTAAACGCAAACATAACTTAATGACCTTTTATGGATATTCAATAAATAATCAAAAACATAGTGATAAATTAAATTGTAAAAATAAGTCAAAATTTTCTGGTTTGTATGCTTATTGTCATTACTTTTTTTTTCTTAGAAATTTCAAAGTTGACTTGGTGAAAGTTTTGATGTATTATAGTGACAGGATGTGTGTAGTTATATTTTACTATACGAAGAAATAAGTTACATCAAAGGTTTTAAACCTTAACGAAGTTAAACACAGTTTCGATGATACTGTCATTTGTGATACATCGAATAAAGTAACCACTTTTAAAACTTACAGTTTACTGTCCCAACAGTAATAACAAAAACTGTTTTTTTAGCATAACGACAATATTCTCTTTAAAACCACTTATTTTAGAATATAACATTTATTTTGCTGTGGTTATTTAATTCCCGCCCCCCCCCAGTGGCACAGCGGTATGTCTGCGGACTAACAACGCTAGAAACCGGGTTTCGATACCCGTGGTGGGCAGAGCACAAATAGCCCATTGTGTAGCTTTGTGCTTAACTTCCAACAATCAGACGTTTAATTCCCAAGGCCAAAAATTCATTTAAATCTTTAAACAGGACAACACTCTCAGTAACCTACGAAAAAATAAGTATTTAAAGTAGAGTATACCAGCAAGTGTAATTTGCTTGATTGTTTTCAGATATTCGGGCAAAGTTACACAAGGGCTAGTTGCTCTAACTGTTCATCATTTTTAAAGACTAGAGGGAAGGCAGGTAGTTAACAGCACCCACTGGCAACCCTTGGGCTACTCTAACCAAGTACTGGGATTTGACCGTCACTCTTATAATGCACTTACAGTCTCTAAGTGAAGAACGCGATTTTTTTTTTTGGCAACGGGACGCGGGCCATAGACCTTCATATCTACAGTAGAATACACTAACCAATGGGCCATACCGGGCCCAACAAGGACAAATTCGATGTGTTTTAAAACTACTTTTTTGAAGATAAGATTTATTACGCTGTGATCACTAAATTCACAAGGCCAAACAGTCATTTTAGTTGAGGTGATTCTGTTACGCGAAGAGATATGTAGGACTCGCCGCCAGGTGGTTATCAAATTATGTAAAAGAATACTTCTAGTATCTCTTAACGTGTGTTAATACTTTAATGTTAACACAGCTAAGGGTGGTCCGCACTCAAGGATCCGTTGGAAACTGGTAATTACAACCATGAAAATATCTTTGAACCAACACATTTCAAGTTTTCTGTTTCTCTTCAGATTTTTATACTAGAAGAAACGCCGCCCTACGTAGGGAAGCGCGGCTGTTTGTGCTAGTAATTACTAATTGTAATAGTCATACCTCATTGAATATAATTTAGAAAAAAGTGAACATTTTCTAAAAAAGGATTTTTTTCTGGGAAGTACAGCACGGGAAAAGTGTTCGGTTTGTGCTGATATAAACTGTAATGTTTTTATATATTAAAAGTGGTGCCCTTTGTTGAAAAAATAACAGTTTTCTAAATAACTTCATACTTTTTTAGTACCATATTTACAAATTTCATCAATAAAGATACAATCAAACTCTCACGTATAGATAGTCCTAGTGAGAGTCATGTTCTTGTTGTGAGGAAAGTACTTTTACTTAAAATTGTGTTCTTTCTATGGTAAAGGAATGGTAATTGTACGTACCGTCGTTATTTTTCCAATTGTCTGAATCTTGAATACCCATAGCGTGAACTTTTTTTTTATGGATTTGTATTTGTGGTGTTATTCAATAGATGGCGCTACATTATATTTATCATTTCGGGTCACATATATATAGATAGATACACATATACACGCTACGTCCATTATAGTAAGATGTTTGTTTCTTTTTAGCCGCGGCATAGCGGCCCATGGGATAGCTCTGAGTTTTTCAAGTATAAACTTTTAGCTCATAGCTCCGTGATCTCTTGACCAATTTGAGATATAATTACAGTTTTAGACTCAGTAGGTCCAACACTTTCGACTGGGGTATTTGACCACACGTCTCATAGATTAATTTACTCTACTCCTGTCTAAAAGAATTTCAATTTGAGGGTAGGCTAGTAGAGATCTTGATGAGTAATAAAATCGAATCGAATATACGCGCGCCCCACGCTTGGTATTGCTGGTGCCCAAAACATATAGCTAATAAATAAGGAAAAAAAAAGTATCATAGATTAATATACTTTAATCCGGCCTAAATGAATTTCAAGTGCCGTGGCTATTGAGGATTCCTTCTTGTTTACTATTCAGTGCTTACAAAAGGATAATATACAGAAGACTCCTGGGGAAGGAACGATATTGCTACTTTACACTAGCCTGCGATGGTTTTATTGTCTTGAAATTTTTACATGTTTTACAGTAATTCCAGTACATTGAATTTGAAAATAATATCTATCTTTCTCCATCACTTAAAGATTTTTCACAAAACGTCATATGTACTTTTACATAAGTGAATAATTTTCATTGCAATCGGGTCACATTTTGTTATGCTTAAAATGTTGACAACCACTGGCTATAGATTTCTCTAGACCAATCGCGACGTGAGAGTCTTATCGATGGTTCTCGAACCCACGAGAAGCACACCGCTAGCATATAAACGGTTAACGGGCAGCATGACGTGTCATTTCAATATAGTATTTGTTTGTGCGTGCACTTTGACATTCCCTTTTTTATCCTCAATATTATTTATTCGTCGCTATGGCAATAAGAGGTTGTGTAAATGACCCAAGCATATTTTGTTATATTTGTGGTAAATTTATTGGAAAATTTATCTAAGTAAGAGTTTTTTTTCTTCTCGATTTGTAAAAAATCCTTACGTGATAGAAAAAAATTAATATTACTTTCGAAATCTGCGTAGCTGAATTATGAAAAATCCGTTATTAAAACCAAAACAACTTTTATGAACTTTAAATTGGCAGGCCTGAGTTATTAGTGTTATGCAGTAAAAATATTGAAAATAATATTCTATTTGTAGCTGAGATTTCAAATTCAGACTGTTTGATAGCAACCTAGCAGCTTTGATATTTTTTTTAATTCAAGGAATCATTCAATATGTCGAATATCTAAGGTACCTGATCCAAATTCAATCACACCACAGTCGTCTTCGTCATCAAAACAGCCGGATTCTGAAGCAGGAAACACCAGATCATCGCCTTCGAAAGAAATCTTTGATCGAGGCTGTCGTAACAAAGTTGGCGTTAATAGATAAATTTGGTTCAAAGCTTGAGAAAACATAAAATTAGATATCTAGCAAATAATCTTATAGGTGAAAGTAAAAATAAAAATCGCTAGCATTCATATATATTTTTAAGATCTATATAAATAATGAAAGCAACGGATTCAAGTGGCACGCGTATATATATAAAATATATATATACATAAAAGTTTCTAAATTATTTAATACCAGCAGAAACGCCGCCCTACGGGCGGCTGTTTGTGTCAGTAATTACTAATCGTAGTATTCATACCTCATTGAAAAAAAAAATAGAAAAGTGAAAATATTCTAAAAAAGGATTTTTTT